GGCGCCGGGAGCCGGCAGGGGCCGAGCCCGCGGCACGGGCAGCGCTGGGGCCTCCTCGCTTATCAGAGGGTTTTTCCAGGGTGGAGGAAGCTCGGCTTTTTCAGGAACGTACGGGTGGTGTTTGTAAAGCTTTCGGTTCGGCTTTGCTGCGTTCTCGTGTGTCTCTTTCTCAGCTTTCGTCTAAATTGGGCCGTATTCCGAGTACCCAACCCAGCTGAGGCCTTGCCAGCCCTCGGGCGTGTCCCAGCCGGGCTGGTCCCTTCCTGCTGCATCACCCTCTTGGCTCAGGTTGATTTGGTTTCCTGCTGTTGGGATTGGAATTTGCCAACTACACACCCTCTATTTCTGGTCTCTGCTGCTTCTTTCTTAAAGGCAAAAATGGAAAATAACTGTTACAGGAATTGAGTTGGCTTCAGCCCCTCTCCGTCAGGAATGCTTTGAATTCTTCCAGGTTGCTTGTGGCCATTTTTAGCTGGATGCCATCACATCAGCGGGTACTTGCTGTTCCCTCACCCAGGTTGCTGGTGGAGATACTGAGTAGGAGTAGACTTGAGGCAGAGCTTCCGAGGAAAGCTTACTGAGATGCCCTCCTGCTGCAACAGCAAAATTTTAACTGCCAGGCTTTTTTCCAAGAGTGCTTTTTATTCAATAAGAATTTTATAGTAGCCAAATAATTGTCACTTAAGAGCTGTTCCTGGGTTGTCTTTGGGAATATTGTGTAAGCAGGTATCAAGATTTAATTTGAATACCTTGGTTGTTAAGTCTTTAGACTGAAAGAAGGAAGTTTGGTTGATAGGTTGGGTTTCATTAATCTTTATTCAGGATGCTTAGAAACAGATTATCTCTATGGTTTTTCTTTGACATTAATGTTAAGTGGGTAGACTTAAAACCTCCCACAGCAATACATTTCTATTCTTTTCAAAGAGGCAGCATTCTAAGTAGGAGACATGTGAGGTAACAGATTGAGATTAATGTAACAAAGCCTGTTGTCTTTTTTTTTTCCCTGTAGTTTATGTTCTCTAAAACCAAGAGTGATTTAATATGATCCACCATCCATCTACATCTGCAGGGTTGTTTTGTTTTGATTAACTACTTCCATTGTCAAAATGTTTCCTTGTTTTGCAACCTTAACACAAACTCTTATCAATCTGCTTTTCTGGGCTGTAGAGAATCCTGACAGGGTAACTTTGGCTTTTCAGGTTTTAATTCAGTGTTTTTCTGCCAACTTTTAAGTTTCTGTGGTTGTGGTCTGATTTTTCCTGCACTGTGGAGCTGGCTGTAGCTAGTGGCTTAAAAAAAAACATTAAGCAGGAAGATTTCAGAGATTGGATCAATTAACGTCTCAGCACATTCATACAGACAAAAGAGACAACTACTAGAGATAAAACCGAGACACTTCATGATGTTTTGGTTAATTAAATGAGTTTAAAATTGTCAAATGAGCTGTGGACTATTTTGACACTGAATTGAGCAAATATTTATCACCTTGTTTTTTCCTCTCCTGTAGGAAGAGGTTGACCCATCACTTCAAGCACTTGAATCCCGCCAGGAGGAGATCCTGAAACGCCTGTATGAGCTGAAGAGTGCTGTTGATGGGCTCTCAAAAATGATACAAACCCCAGATGCTGACTTTGATGTAACCAATATAATTCAAACTGTTGAATGTTCTCCTCTGACAACAAATGGAGCAGATTTAGATTTGATGCTTGGAAAGGTATGTTTAGTTTGGCAAATACATTAGTAGTTACTTTGCTCTCAGGTGCTTAGGGTTGGAAGGGTGGTGGTAGAGCCTAGGGCATCCAGAGCTCATTGTGCAAGTCTAATATCCTTACAAATTACCTGCAACTACCATTTCATTTTTGGGCATCCAGATTATAAATACAAATATTTATAAATACTAAATCCTATATATTCTCATTTGGGTACAATTCCAAGCTATAATGGTTAATTGAAACTATCTCTGTTGGTTTCTTGTTTGTTACCACTGGAAATTTTAAGTTTGGGTTCAGGTTGGACTATAATTTTGCCTCAGTCACATTCTTGAGTCATATATTGAGGAAGGAAGATGTTTAAACGTTTCAACAAGAATTTTTAGAGGTCCAAATTTGAACTGATTTACTTATTGTTAGAATTTCACACATGCAGAGCTTGTACATTTTGGTATTCGATGAAAACTCCACTATTTCAAAGTCTGACCTGGAGTGTGTCTTATCTACTGCATGTTTTACTTTCCATTCAGGATTATGGTGCCCTGAAAGACATTGTAATCAATGCAAATCCTTCTCTGCCTCCGCTGTCATTGTTAGTGCTGCACAGCCTGCTTTGTGAACGCTACAAAATATTATCAGCTGTTCACACACACTCATCGGTGAGAACCGTGCCAGAAAACCTCTTGAAATGCTTTGGAGAGCAGATGAAGAAGCAGCCACGTCACAAGTATCAGTTGGGCTTTACTCTTATTTGGAAGGATGGTAAGAATGAAACTGCCTTGTAGATCAATGTTTTACAATAGGTGAGAAATTAAAATTGTGCTATAAAACCTTAAGAGCAGATGCTTTGGTGGCCTTGTGCTGACAGGATGGAGATGAACTGCAGGTAATATTTGTCCTCTTTTTATGGCTGTGAACAATGATGGGGACTGAGGTGGAACATTCTTGTTTGTGGTTACTGCTATTAAAATACATGTGGCATTTACAGGATTTTTTAAATATAACTCTGTTTCAGTTTCTACAAATAAGTTGACTAGAATAGAAAGTAGATGAGAAATTGGGCTGAAGTTTGCAAAAAGTCATCTTTTTATCCCAGGTTCCTGCCTTCGTCTAATTATTTAGACTAAGAAAATGGATTTTTTTTTAAAGCAGGTTAAAGTTGTTAAGTTGCATAATAAATAAAATACATCATAGAATTAACATTATGTTTAGCTACTCCACCATATGGTATTCACTTTTTTCCTGTCTTAATTTCAGTTCCCAAGCCCCAGATGAAGTTTAGCATTCAAACAATGTGCCCTATTGAAGGAGAGGGCAACATTGCCCGATTTCTCTTTTCCCTGTTTGGCCAGAAGTACAATGCAGTTACTGCGACTCTGATTGACAGCTGGGTGGATACAGCCATCTTCCAGCTCAAAGAAGGCAGCAGCAAGGAAAAAGGAGCAGTCCTGCGATCGATGAATGCTGCCCTGGGCAAGACCTCCTGGTTGGTGGGAAATGAACTGACTGTAGCTGACATCGTGGCGTGGTGCGCGCTCCAGCAGACGGGTGCTGCCAACGCTGCCCCGGCCAACGTGCAGAAATGGATGAAGTCCTGTGAGAACCTGGCACCTTTCACCTCTGTGATGAAGCTACTGAAGTAAGCCTGTACTTGTGATAATGGCGTCATTTGTTATCTCATTCCACCTCATGCCTGCCATAGTGGTCTGAGTCCTGGCCCAGATGTGTTCAAGCACTACAGTTGGACAGAATTCTGAAATCAATAAAAATGTTACAGCTACTGTTTGGGTGTGGCCTTCCTTTTTTGTGACTGATACATAACATATCTATTTGCTTAATGATTATAAGGTATCTGAAGCAGTCCTGTGTAAAAACAACCTACACTTCCAATTTTTCCTTATGTTTTCCCTTGTAACCCAAATGCTTACTTACACAAGTTAGTCTCAGTACAGTTTAAGTGCAACATGAATCCTTTCTGTTGATTGGGGACCTCTGAACTAAGACAAAAAGATTAAGGCCTTTAAAGAACAGACAGGAAAATCAAAATGTATTGAAATATTTTATGTAAAAAAAACAAAAAAACATTTTATATAACTTAACATACAATAGAGGTTAGTTCTTCCTGTACTCAAACAGGAGAACCTAGTCTCATACATTCACCTTGTTCTCCAGAAAGCAGCCTTATTCTCTCTCTCAGTTTTTCTATTTCTTCCTCTTGCTGTCTTACCTTCTGTTGTAGGTTAGAAATAACCTGAAAATGAGAGTGTTTATTTATAGATGGGCCAGGATAAAGCCTTATCAACCTATTCAGATTGTGTTCTCAACCCACTACAGACACATTCTGTAGCACCGCAGCTATTTTGCATATTTGCTAGTACAACTTCAGTGTGGCAAGGAAAGGGAAAATGAAAAATTCTGCAGAGCTGAGGAAAAGTTTTTAAAGCTTTCCTAGCCTATAAATACTTCAAGATGCATGTAAGTCAACTCTCCAATCTTCATAAAGTTACCTATACTTAATGACCATTTATCTCATTGCAAATACACCAGAAACATGAATGCAGTGCCCTAGATACTGTAATAATAACAAAAAAGTTTCAAACACACAATCCTCTTAAGTTAAAAACAAAACATAGGCAGGAAAACTTAAAGGGACTGGGAATTTGTATTTCTCTATGCTGTAAAGGTTGAGATTACTGGCATAACTTACATGTTCTGTGGTATGAAACAGTTCACTCTCACGAAGCTGAGCAGCAGTTGGTCTTTCTGTAGATCTCTGACTCGTGAGGAGTTTAATGTACTTGGCTTGAACAGGCCATTTTTTGGAGAAAGAGTGAGGAATCTGGCCTTTCCTTAAATGCATGAGAACTTCTGTTCTTTCCATTTCTGTTCCGAAGGGCTGGAAGAGTTCTAGCAGGATAACACCCAGGCTGTACATGTCTGACTGGTAATGGGGTGAAGACAAAGTTCTGGGATAACTGCTGTTTTTAGTAACTTACTACATTTCTTTTACTCATTAAAAATTCATTACATGGAAAAATTCTGTGACAGTTTCATCAGGATATGAAAAGTACCATGACAATACTAATGGAACACAAATTCTAATCTATATATATTCCTCAAGATAATCTTAGAAACACAAGTAATTTTTGTATTAAGTAGCAAACTAGAAAGCAAACTTGAAATTCATGTTTCAACAAAACCACTAAAAGTAACAGTAGGAGGGATATTTATGTATTTACCAAATATTACCTATTTACCCACTAAAAGGCTTGTTTTCCTACTATCTTACTATCATGTGTTAGCAGAAAAAAAACTACTCCCTACCTTGAAATCATAGTGAGATCCCTGCAATTGTTCTGGTGAGGCATAGAGGCAAGTCCCCACTCCTGTGGTGTGTCTCTGACCTTTAAAGAGGCAAATGAGACTTACTCAGCTAGTATTACATTTTTAGCATTTTACTTAATAATGTAATATTTAATGGTTTTAATATCAGAAACTTATACATTTAAACCCATTAAGCTTTTTTCTCTTACTTTTTGTCCTTTCTGTCTTAAACCACTGGTCTGCATCATCCCAAAGGAGGTCTTTGCAGGCTAACCCAAAGTCTCCTATTTTTACATGATGATCCAATCCATGTAGAAAGATATTTCTGGGCTACAAAACAAGACAGTATAAAATCTAATGTATACACACACACAAAGAATTAGGATATTTGAGCTGTTTCAAAGTCTATGAAATCCTGTGTTTCACAGGTGTAAAATTGTAATTATTTAATAATTTAATTAGTGAGATGATAGAAAAAATAAGTCAGAGCTGGTATGAAACTGTTAGTGACACCACTTGGGCAGAAATGCCACATGTGAAGGATCTAGAAAAATAATCAAAACAGGAAAAACAAAGATTTAGTGGAAAGATAAATTACTTTTTCTTTTTTCCAGCAGAAAATAGGAAATTTGCTGAACAGTAATGTTAACAGGAACAGTCAAGAACAGACAGCAAATCAGAACAACTGACAGCAGGAAAGTGGACTAAATATATTTTTTCATATGTAACATATCTAAATTCTTCAGAGCCCAGGTACTTTCAAATTTAACTATGGAGTTGTTTTCATTTTCCCATAAGACATCTTTGTTTTTTTCAACCTCAAGTAATAATTCCATGAACTTACTTTAATGTCTCGATGCATCACTCCCATGCTGTGGATATAGCACACCCCTTCTAATAACTCTTGAAAGATCTTAACTGTCCAGCTGACATCCACAAGATGGTATGGACCTTAAAAGAATTTAACATCTAAATTATTTCAGCTAATTTTACTGAGTTATTTAAGTTGATGGTGTCCTGTTGAATTCTATTTATTTATGATGTAGCAGAATTTTTTTACCAGAATGAGTATAGTTTAAAAATTCAATTTTCCATGCTTCTCCTAAGATAATAACCTTTGAAATAGCAAGAAGTTACTAACCTAAACATTCCAAAAAGGAAAGTTCAGGGAACATTAACATGTGTCTGCCCCAAAGGACTCCTCCAAACCCTATCAGTTTTTTGATTATGAATTTAACGAAGTCTTTAATTCCATGTAAGTGCTGAATTGTACCGAAAAATACAATTCCAGATAAAATCATGCTAATTTACATAATGACATGTCTTCTGTAATGATTTCCACCCGTCCTTTTTGGATCCTAATCTTTCTGCCATTGTGCCATCCTCTGAAATTTCCCAATCTCTTCTGGCTGTAGCTGTCCTAAATAAACTTACCATCTAATTGTTTTTACCATTTCCCATATTATTATTTTATTTAACTACACTGTCTTCCTACTCGTAACGACCTAGATCTAAAATGATAACTGTTCAAAGTGACAATGGATATTTACTCCTGCTTGAATTTCTGTTTTTCCTCTCCTGTCACCTGTGAAAATGTGTAAAAATAGGGTTTTGCCAGGTCAAATACCCTAGTATTCCCTGACCAGAAACCTCATCTTTTAGCTTATGAAAGCTAAAAGACTTATCAGTACAGGAGGGATTAGTGGGAGTCGACTGACAGTACGTAAGCAGGACTCCAGGAAAAGAACAACAGATTTATCCTTATAGTGATTAAAACTCAGATTAAACAATCATACAGTTTATGTTAGGCATATGCTTTTTTAATACAACCTCCCTAGAGAAAAGAACATATCTCTAATGCTTTAAGAGCATTAGACTTGTTCTTCCAAATGTCAACAATTATTGAAGACAGTTTGTATCAGGGCATGAGAACTCCTCTGACCACTCAAGCAAAGTACATGTTAGATTTTTTACATCAATGACAAATTAGCTTGTCCTGTGTGTTGATTCTTAAGTACAAACTTTAAAGCTTTTCAGTATGTTTTTAACGTGTCTGGAAAAAAAAGATGTATTCATGTTTTCCACAGCAGATAAACTAAGACTATGAAAAGCTCTGTTTTGTTGCAGTGAGACTACTACCAAAGCAACATTTAAATTATTTAAATGTCTTACTATGAAAAAGCAGTTTCTGTCGATAAAAAACCCATTCTGAATAAGTAGTATTGCCCAGACACTGAGCTCTCCAGTTAACAACTATGCCTCAGGCACACATTGATTCTTTTTTGAAGAGCTGTCAAAAACTCACGAACTTAAATCTCTTTTACCAACATCTATCACGCAAAGATTCAATACTGGCTGCTACTTTATTAAGTGAATAAAGAATCTAATGAAGATCAGTATTAGAAGCTGCTGAAGTAAAACACCAAATCAGACAGTGGACTTCCCATTAGGGAAAAGGAAACACTTGCTTTATAATGGATAAGTAAATTTTTAAGACAGTGATGAATCTTACTGGACATTTCCTCTGTTCTCTCGTTGCATCTTCTATTACGGTCAACAATCCAATCCCACAAGGATATTTCACACAGCTGCATTTGTATATGAAGCATCAAACGATACTCCACCTAACAGAAAAAGAATGGCCCATGATTTTGCCACTGTAACATGAACAGTGTTTCCTTAGTTACTTTATCTAAAGCTAAGAAACCCAAAATTTGTTTATTAAATTTTTAAAAAGATACCAAAATTACATCAAACACAGTATTACTCATCTACTACTTCCAAGAAGCAGATGCAACAACAGGATCTGGTTTGGGGCAGTTTTTTCTTGTTCCTCAATTTTTAAAAATTGTTACATGATGAAACTAACAAAACAGCCAGCTATGTATCTTAATATTCAAGTTAGAGTTTAAAAGCTTCTAGACATACTGAACAGAGGTTCATTTTGGCTCGAGAACATAGGGTAAATTAGTATAAAATAGCAAAACAAATTCAACCTCTTTATATGGAATTTTATTATTTATTAACATGAATATGTAACTTCATACTCAGTTTCTGATAATGTACTAGTTCATTTGATAACCCAGATAACTCAAGCAAACACTTAAAATCTTGAATTTCTTGAAGAGGAAATCCAAAGGATAGCAAAAGCTTGAGGTATTCCCAAGCTGGCTGTTGTACAAAACTAGTCAGTGGGATCAGTGTCAGCAAAGCTCTAGAAGCACAGGCTGAGTGGTGATTCCCTGCCCACACCTACTTCCCTCCCTTTCACATGTAAACCTTCACTGAATAAGGCACCACACTACCTAACTCAATGCTACTTACCCAGACACTTTCATCAATAATCTGAATTAGCTATCATTGCTGAATGC